TTCTTGTTGTTCAGATAAAATCGGATGACGTCCAAGTACGTAAAGTACGTCTGGGAATATTGTACACATTTGCGGCCCTATATGGAGGCATACCAGTTCTCACAGCATTAATGGCATCTACTAGTTGTTCTTCCGTCCATTGGGCTCGTTTTTTATTAGGCATTATGCTGAAAACAAAATATTTACTTATTTTATTTAAGGCGGCAGGTTCCTAATAAGGTCATTCAAGTGGCCTTATTAAGAACTATTTTCATAACCTGCAGTTTATGTTTTTTTTAAAATAGTAGCCTCAAATCATTGTTACTAACTAACAAAAAATATAACCGGTACATTGAGCAATAGTTTTTGGGTCAGAGAAATTAAACAAAACTTACCTGATATTATAGGCAGAAATGCGCGGGATCGAATATGCGAGGCGAAATAAATATACGCGACTGGCTAAACGATAATCACTCTGGCTACTGAAAAATTTTGATCTCGGAGTCTCGGAGGCATAGGGAACTAGTAGATTGCGCCCCCTGCTAGAAATATGTATTAATATTAACCATACTATTTCGAATTGGCTCTATTAGCAGACTGGCCTTATTTGTCGTCGGTACCTTACTGTTTTTGCTATAGATTTCTGGTTTTGGCCCTTGAGTTACTGTTCTACTGTTTGAAAGATAAAACCTACAGGTAACTCAATTTACTTTCTATAATGATAATCTAATGACTGTAAATAGCGTAAATCACCATGTATGTAGAATGCATTTATAAAACATATTCTATACTGTTTCTCTTTATCAATCTACTGTTTTCTGACAGTATGACCTAGATGTACTAGTTAGTATGGCTCAACTTCGTATTTCATAAACACGTTATAAATAAGGTTATATAACTCAGATAATGACTCAACACAACACTTATTAATTCTAAGGCAGCACGAAGTTCGACGGGTCAGTTAGGAAAGGAAGTTATTTTCATTCGTTCCTTATCGGCTGTTCACACCTATGTTGTTCTTGACAGATTTGAAAAATAAACCAAATTTATTACATGAATTGAAAAAGCCATAACACTGTAGATATTATTTAAAGAAATGATCAAAATGGTTTAGAGTTGGGTACTCAAAGATTTGGACGTGTTTATTACCTTTATACGTGACACATATCACAGAAATGATTCTAATTTTGTCAGGAAAAATCCTCCATGGAAATTATTGATGAAAATACAAAAATAGTATCAGAAATACTAAAACACTCACCTTCAATTTAAAATTGAAATTTGTGGAAAAAGTCAAAATGAGGTAAAATACATCTTCCTTTTTCAGTTATGCAGGTACTAAGAAATCCAGGTCTGGCTCGCTTCTTACCGACTAAGTTGGAATCATTAGATATTCATTGAGTGCCGCGTAATATGACAGTTATTTTACATCTTCATATGTACCAGAAATCCCAAAAGTAGGAAACAACGAAATAACTTCCAAGTACCAAATGCATTAAAAAAAAATCTGAAAAAGTTTCAGGGTTTTTTCTTAGCTATCCAACGGCATAATCATATTAGTCCTTGACTAATGGGCCCGAAGTCAAGGACATTTTTCAAACGAAAGGTAAAATTTTTCCATCTTTCTGAATAAGAGAGTGGAACATGTCATGCCTGAATATGGTCTGAGCCTCTTCCACGAATTTGACCTTATGAATGATATCGGATATTATAACTGGTGATATAAGATCAAATATGATGATACTTTCAGTCTTTGAAATGCATTTCTCATAAGATATTTCAGTGTTATCGTAATTCTGGAACACTTGTAGAGTATGTGGCGTTGTTTTTCCAAGGGTGCATTCGTTGCGAGTTCTTCAAAGTATTCAAAGACGACGACCCGTCACGACTGGTTAGTAACTGATCGTAGAAAATATTTTTTTGACTCCTATTTCAAGTATATTCAGTAGTGCCACCATCTTGAAAATATTTGAGTTAGGTTATCTCCGCCAGCACTGATAATATATTGAATATCAGTCACATTATACTACACGGAAATATTTGAGAAATTCGAAAAAATCATGAAATAATTCATGCAATAATTGTCCAATAGAAATGACGATAAAACAGAATTGTTCCTCTCTATGGAGATATAAGGTGCCCAATGTTACGTTTATACTAGCTGTCTCGGAGAACTTTGTACCGCCTTACAATTCATAAATATGTTAGGCAAAAAAAAATCTACTACAAAAGCAGTAGATCTATTAGTACTGAGTATGACGGTTCTCTACTGTGATCTCTTATTTATATGTAGTGGATTGATTCGTAATATTTTGCAGCCCATTTGCATTACAGCATAGTAGTTGCTGACTTTATTTTCATCAGAACTTTGCTGACTTTGTTTCTTTTATGACACAAAAATTATTCATGCACGTTTGATCACAAATGTCATAACCTCAGTTTTCTTTGCGCCCACCATGGCAACTATCATTACCTAGCAAACCAACATCGTTTCTGTTGAAAAAAAATATGTAAAAATATATCAGCTGTCGCCCCCATACGAACGACAACTCTCAGAAGTCGATAAACTTGTGCGAGCTAAGGACTAACGAGGTCTTACCTCGTTAGTTCGTTGATTTCTCTATTTTCTTGATTTTTCGAACGTTCCATTAGATATTCTGCTGTTCTGAACGGAGACAAAATCAAAATATCAAAAATAGGTCAAGGTTTTCATGAATTAAAAATATAATGCAACTTTTTCTAATATCATTCGAAATGGTCCCAACTTTGAGTATTGGTGATTTCAATCTTCTTGTTGGCCTGATCCTATAACCTCTCTTTATACTAAATTTAAACCAATGATGATTTCGAATATTCTTTCAGTTCAAGGTCAAGCTCTGCTGGTGGAACAATCGATTATAAATTTAATTTGAATGCGGGTGTTAGGTTAGGTCAGGTCAAAAGTGAGTGGGTCTATCCGACCCTTCACCGCAACCCGCAAGGTTTCATTGTGGCTCACACATCTTCACACCCGCCCAATTAAACCTAGCTTCTTAACGATGCCGATTAGTTTGTATGATGAATGGTCTTTCAGTTCAGATAGTAAGAGTATGGCTCTACCAAACTCTGAAAACCTGATCCGATCCCCAGCGGGGCAGGCACAAAGTATGTGCTCGGCTATTTCATCATTTTCCAAACAGAAGCGACACTCACTGTCTTCCGATAGTTTGAGTCTCTGCATATGATGATTCAGATGACAGTGACCTGTAAGAAGGCCTGTTGAACATCCTAGTTCATCCATATTGTAGTCCAACAACTGTTTGGTATCAATCTTCGAAGGGTGAATAAACGCCTTGGAGTGAGCCAATCCTTGAAGATTCTGCCAGAAGTCCATAAATCTTCTTGCCATTTATGTGTTCAATGTTTGTTTGACGAAACCTGAAGCTATGTCAATGACGGTTTCTGGTCCGATGAAGCTGCTTGCAGCACCCTCCTTTGCAAGGGAGTCAGCAGCCTTATTGCCTTCCAGGCCAGTATGGCCTGGAATCCTGTCAGAGAAAAATTTGTTAAGTCTTCCTATCGTGGAGAGTCGTTTTTGGCAATTGGCTACCAATTTAGACATTGCTTGGTGGGAGCCAAAAGCTTTCAATGCCGCTTGACTGTCCGAGAATATTTTTATTGACTTGTGTATGAAGTTGGATTCTTCCGATCTCCTCATTAAATTGATTTATGCAGCTGGCAATGTGCACAAATCCATTTGCAGTCCATCTAGCGTCTTTCTCCAAAAAATGTAGAAAGGAGGTAGATCTAGAAGGATCTCCATGGCCGCTGACGGTATGGTACTGATGACACCACTGATGGCTAGACAAACGTGTTGTTGTGAACCAAAGAGCTTCGCCCGAGCCGTTTTCTGTAAAATCTATGGAGTAATTGCCACCAGGCAATTGCTCCATAAGTGATCATTGGTCTGAAAATCATCACGTGAATTCATTGGATATGTTTGGGACCTAAACCTCAAATTTTACCATAAATCCTCCAAAATGTCCATAGGGACAGTCTGGCTCTGTATAAAACGTTTCGCCAAGTAAGTTTTTTATCAAGGACAATGCCGAGATATTTCACCTCCGTTCCAAATGGAATGACCTCCTAGTGAAGGGAACCTCAGGAACCAACTGTGAACAACGTTCATCGTAGACCTTGCCATGTATACATGAAAATAATAAATAAAATGATTGTGTTAAAGATAATTCAATATTTTTAAATAACTCACTACAGAAATAACTGTACATTGAGATATGCTATTTTGAAATTCATTATATAATCTGAAACTTTCATAATCTTACATAATGAGAACATGTGGTGAAGCATTTGGCATGTTGATTTTCTATTTATACCCCTATTCAAAATAAAAATGTTGAAGGCCGTCGATTTTTGGCGTTTCCTGGCGTTTCTTTAATGGTTTATACATCCTGAGTTTATCTTCGATGACTCGATATTACGGCTGCGTAAAGCGTATCTATGTTGACCTCTGAAGAAGCTGGCCACTCGTGCCAGCGAAACGTCAGGAACAAATTCCAAAAATCGTCGGCCTCCAAACCCGAGAAATAGTGACACTGAAAATCTTGGCCGAAAAATGTTAAAATCAATTGATTACGTATGTAATTACAGTTATTTAAATGACTAAATTGAAATTTTTCATCACGAAAGATCAAACGTCTACCATTATTGAACATTATTTTTTGTTGTACATTCGTTTTCAGATACAGCTCTAGAAACCACAAACAAACTGACGATTCATGCTACAACTTTTCATAACTTCTCTTATTTGTTCAATGGCAATGAGCTCTAATATTGTATTACTCATTATTACACTCTTCACTATTTTCCGGGGAAAATATGTGAATATTATGTATAATACTTTCAACTAGTAGTGGAAAATAATATAAGGTTCAGAAGATGAATAAGTGAATTTGTTTACCTCCAGGATTTGCAAAAAACTCTCGATGAAATGTCTCTGAAAATGTTTCTTTTTCATTTTACAGTTCAATACATCCAAAAAGGTATCAAAATACATAGATTCTGTTTCCGATGATGAATTGAGTAACTACAGCGATACAGAACTAGAACATGACGATGTCGATGAGATCTTTACCAACAAAATGAAGGCTCAAAGTGCGTCGAAGGATGACACCAATCAAACTGGCGCTGTTAAGACTTTGATAAGTTTACAGTCACTGGCGAATGCTATTGAAACAATGGAAGAATATTTGAACAATCCTGTGAGAATCAAGTTGAATGATACGAGAATGGAAGAAGAAATGAGGATGTTAAAAAATACATATACATATGTGAAGGTAATTTCAGGACTATTTTCAGTTAATGCTCATTCATCTGATTCGAAATCATCATTGCCTCAGTTAGGCATTACCTTCATTCTCGTTTGCATAACTTTCGACTCATACTTCGAGATAAAGAAACTATTCAAGTACCGAAATAATTATATGTGGTAGTTTTCAATTTCAATAATACACTAGTGAACCGCTCAAAGCTACTCTAACTCAACCAACAAGCACCTCTCCATAATGCACGCAAACATACAAAAATAAAAGCAATTAACAGTGATGGTACCACGAAATGAGAACCGTAAATAAAATATTAATTTGTGATTACCTTCTAAAGATAGTTGATAAATAATTTAATTCAATTGATCTGTTGTCTAAAAAGCAAAAGTTGACATTACTGACTATAATAGATATACCTAATTTTTATATTTGTATTTGAATTTCCTGATATTGAATCTCTTCAATTGCTCAGGCAATGAATTATAGAGTTTTACAGCACCAAAGAGAAATGATCTCTGAAACTGTGCAGTGCGATGTTGTGGCATAGTTAATTTGTTTTTATGTCTAATGTTTCTTGAGTGGATATTTTCACGCAGAATTAGTGTTTGTATTGAAAAAGGAGAATGGGAAAGGGTGATCAATTTATGGACAAAACAACCCAAATGATGAATCATACGGTTTTTCATATTGAGCCAGCGGGAGTTTTTAAAGGCTTCAGAAATTGAATCATACTTACGAAGTCCATAAATTAGGCGGCAACAAGAATTTTGCACTTTTTGTATTCTTTTTTTATCTGAATCATATAAGTATGGCCGATATATGAAGTCACAGTAGTTGAAATGGCTTAGCACCAAACTATCGCAGAGCATTCTTCTTAGAGGTTGGCTCAAAATAAAACGATTACAGTATAACAGTTTCAATGACATATAAGCTTTTTTCATTAAATTTTGAACATGACTAGTGAATCTAAGATCAGTGTCAAGCATGACCCCTAAGTTTTCAACTGTATTGACAGGAGTCAAGATAGTATGACCTAGTTTTAAAGGGAAATTGTTTTCTGCAAATTTACGATTCTTCTGCGATCCAAAGTGCATCAACATTGTTTTATTAGGATTAACTTTCAAATCATGTTCACTTGATAGCCCATTGATCAAATCAAGATCAGTGTTGAAGAGATTTTGTGCCTCAGCACACTCATCGATTTTAAAGTGTATGTATAATTGTATGTCATCAGCATACGCCTATATTTTACATTTCTTGATGAACGAGATAATGTCAGTGGTATAAATGATGAACAATAAAAGTCCCTAAATGGAACCCTGTGGTACTCCTGATAGAATATCAAGAGGTAAGGAGTGATGACCATCAACAACAACTTTTTGAGATCGACCAAGTAAATAATACCAGATGAGAAATAAGGCAGCACTATCAAAACCATAATATTTGAGTTTCATGCAAATCAGCTCATGATTGATGGTATCGAATGCTTTCGAAAAATCTAGTAATACCAGAGTGCTAATCATTCCCCTATCAAATCCCTTAACAATGTCTTGTGTAACAGTAGCAAGAGCTGTAGCCGTGCTAAAACCCTGCCTAAAACCGCATTGCGATGGTGATAACAGATTATTGGTATTGAAATATTCATTAATTTGTGAATAAATAACTCTTTCAAAAATTTTACTCATGGTTGGAAGTATGCTGATAATTCTATACACAATATAGTATATGGAAGAGTTAACATTTCACTCACATTGAACTCTATCATCCTTGATGGCGGACTTCAGAATGTTAACAAAAACCCAGAACATATTTTTTCAACAGATACGCTTATTGGATTCAATCCCAATCATGAAAATCTTGTTCCTCCTGGGACAACTACTTCCATATTAACATTGAATTACCTACTTTCGAAACAACTGATTTAATATGAGTTCTCAGAAACCCAGAACAAAGTCTAGTCTACCAGTTCCACAGTTCTTCGCGACGTTCTATGACTTGCCTTGATAACATTCTTGGGTTTATTAATGAGTTAAAAATTGTTGATTCTATATTTAGAGTGACAAAGGCTAACTAATGCAATTATTGTGCTTACAACACTATTCTTTGATTTATTTCGAAACGATAGACTACTCAATCGTGATAATGGATTGATGAATATGTTGAAAATAAATATCTTTAAATGAAATCTCGAAACATTAATCTCTTCCATCGTTCCTACACAGTAGAATCTGGTAAATGTATGTAGGTGATCGATTGACTTCAACGTGATTCTGCCATAATGGATGAACCAGAAGCACCTGCAAGATCTTTCTATGTGGAAGAACTTGTATGAATGTCTATGAAATATGATTCAATCTCCTTCGCGGTATCAGTCAGGAGAGTATTTGTTTTCTGACAGACATACTAGATCTCACTGTAAAGGAACTTCGGGAGGCATGAACGTGTCGAGATTTCGAGATTTCGAAATATTAATTTTCTTTGTCGATACAGTCATCAGACTCATTTTGATTTCTGGTTGATAAATGAATGTTTTTTTCAGTAAATAATGAAAAAAACTGATTCAAATGAACAGTAATTTATATACAATGAGCGGCACCAAAAATCTCCACCAAGATTCTCATGCAGAGAGTTCGTGTAGACAAGAAGGTTCTATATGGGGAATTTTTAAGGTACAGAAAAATGATTGTGAAACTTAATGGAGCACGATCTGAATTGCATAACATCAATCTAGGAGTACCACAAGGATCTATACTTGGTCCATTGAATTTCCTTATGTTCACCAATGATTTACCAGAGTATATGAATGCCGATTGCTTAGTATTATATGCCGATGATGTATCTGTTGCATTTCACAGTGAAAATGATTGTAAATTTGATGAGAAAGTTAACGAACTTCATAACAAATTCAGTAACTGGTGTGTCTCTAATCGATTAACACTTCAGTTCTTTTGCAATATTACCCTCCCTGACAAAACACAATTTCAATCATCGCTTCTAGAAAAGTATCAAACTAGGAACACTGCAAATTCTGTCAGATTCTCTCCCGTTGACGAACATACTGTACAGAAGTTTTTAAATAAAATCAGAAGCAACGCTGTAGGTTCGGACAGCATCTCACTTCGAATGATTCGTTTGGTGGAAACACATCTCTTGGAATACATCACCTTTATACTGAATTCGTGTATCATTTCCTCGTGTTTTCCTTCCCCTTGGAAACATGCACTTGTGATTCCTTTGGCTAAGTGTAACTCTCCGACACATTACTCTGATCTTAGGCCCATTAGTATTTTACCCTCCCTNTATTATCATTATTTTTATTACTCAATCACAACAAAAACATTCTCATGAATTTTTCTAAGAATTCTCTTAATTTTCCCATTGAGTTTTGTTGATAAAAATACCCCGGTATTTCATTGAGATATCTTTTGGAATTTCATAGTTTCTTTCGAATCCTAACGATATCCCACTGAGTATGTGAGCCAAATGATAAGTAGACATTCAGCATCTTGTTGAAAGTATGCTCATTGTATCCAAACCATTCATGAAGTTTCCTACAGTTTTCAATTCTTTCCCCCCCGCTGATTCCTCGCAGCTTTTTTAATATCGGAGCATCTTATGATCTGCTCATTTTAGGTGGTTCTTGAAATATTCTTGTTGAATTTTTGCTCAAGCGGGTGGAAATCCACGACGTGAAAATGTTTTCCAACTCTTCACAAATCCTACCGACTTCTTAAATTAAAAACCCAAACGAGACATTGTCTATCTATTCGAAAAGTATATACTTTATAAAACTAGAAACGATTGTCCCTAATAAGAGCTACAAATTGAATGGTGTTTGAATGAATATTGAACTAAATGTTGAACACCACGTAGTGATATGTTTTTTTCATCGACTTCTTTTGGGTATTTTTTACCTTCCACAATCTGAAAAATATAAAAAATATAATGAAGAACTTTATACAAGTGTAGAAAGGGCAAACTTTTTAGTTTACCCCGATAAGTTACTGCGTAAAATCAAAGTATTTTTCACAAAGAAAAATGTTCTATTCATCAGTAACTTGCCGTATTTAACAATTTTGCCTGCCAAAAAAAATGGTAAGAAATAATACAATACTTATCTTTAAGTTTCGGATGCCAAAATCTGTCTCCGTCTTCAGAAGTGGACATAAAAATTCAAAGATATTTGCAGTTGTTCCTTTTGATTATTTATTTCTCAACTTCTTCGACAGATGTCAAAGGAGTTTTGGAATATGAAATTATGTCAGTGTTGTTGATTGACAACTGAAACATTCGATGTAATACAAGGTACTCTTCGATATCAGTCTCTTGCCATTTCGCTACTATCCAAATTTTCCTTCAAGATGGGTAGCCAGCCAAGTACGGTCTATTTCTAAGGATCTGTTCGAAATAAAATTATCTTCAGATATGAGAATATACGCTGGTTCTTTTAGCTTACGTCGAATTAAATGAAACAAGATAAGAATGATTACCAATGAGCCTTACTCTGAGAGTCGTAAGCTTAAAGAATCAGCGTATAATCTCATATCTGAAGAGAATTGTATTTCGAACAGCTCCTTAGAAATAGACCGAACTTGGCTACCCATGTTGAAGGAAAATTCGGATAGTTCATAGTCATCTTCATTTTTATCAGGTTAGACTTTTTTTCCCTTACCCTTCCAACTGAGATTCGTCAGGAGGACGAATGGTTCATAACGTGAGGTATTTTGGTGGCGACATAAAGGTCAATAAACTCTATGCCGTTCTGGCTTTGTGTACCCCTTCCTGACTGGGGTATTTGATGAACAAACTGTTCATTTTAACAGACGTCGTGGGGCCTTCACTCAACCGAGCGACGGGGCCTTCTGAATCGAGTGGGGTCGTCTATAGTGTAATCTACAGCTTCCCTAACTAATGGGTTATCATGAGTTTCCGCTGACTCGAAAACTCTCTGATTCCTCGACTGAATGGACTGCCGTATAGTTAACAGCTTCAAATCTCTGCGGATGGCTTCATTCCGCACGAACCATGGAGCATTCAGCGGCATCCTGAGAAGTTTATTTTGCAACCTTTCCAAAATGGAGAGGTTTGACGGGGCGGTTTGTCCCCAAGCACCTGAAGCATACATGATGACAGGCTTGAACATCGTGTTGTATAGTAAAATCTTATTTTCAACTGCACTTTCCTCTTGATATAATTATTGTGATTGGCCCAGGTGAGTCGACGGTCTACCCAAAGACGGTCTACCCAAAGACTCGCGTTTGCCATTCGATCTCCCTGCCTGTAATCGTGACCCTTGTGTCTGAAGAAACTTTACGTCTCCCCAAGTCTATCGCCTGAGTTTTTTCTGAATTCACTCGAATCTTCCAGTCAAGATACCAGCGTTCGAGGTAGTCCAATGCGCGTTGCATGTAGACGACCCCCAACGCCCGACCCATGAAAGAAGCGAGGAGAGCTGTATCATCGGCGTAAAAGGAAACCTTCACGTGATCGAACCTTGGAAGGTCGCTCACGTAAAGGCTGTATAGTAGTGGAGACAGCACAGCTCCCTGATGCACTCCAGCTTCGATTTTCCTGACGGGAGACAGGATTCCTTCAACCCGGACCTGAAATGTTCTGCCTTTTAGAAAGGACCTAACCCACCGGACCAGACCCCGAGGCAGATCGAAATCGAGCATTTTGTGTAGCAGGCCTTCGTGCCAGACTCAGTCGAAGGCTTTCGAAATATCCAGGAGGACGAGATGGACTGTCTTCCTGTTGTTCAGCTCTGAGATGGAATTTTCGACCAGTCTCAGGGCCTGCAGCTCGGTGGAGTATGCCCTCCTGAAGCCGAATTGTTCGTCAGGCAGAACATTTCGGTCTTCAACTTCTTCTGTTAGCCTTTGCAGCACAACACGTTCAGCCAACTTAGCCGTTGAGCAAAGCATACTAATCGGACGATGATTCTGGGGAAACAGCAGGTTCTGGCCCTGTTTTGGAATCATGACAACTACGGCATGCTTCCATCTTCGAGGGAAGTATCTGAGAGTGATTGAGCTGTTGATAATGTTCAGCAGGTATATGATGAAGTTCTCCGAAAGCTGCTTCAACAACATGTTGTTGATTGAATCAATTCCCGGAGCCTTCTTGGATTTGGAGGCCCTAATGTACCCCTTCAGTTCTTCCTCTGAAGCTGTACGAATCACGTCGTCATCATTTTCCCTAAGGATGCGCCAAACCCAGTGTTCCAGCCGGATATCACGGTCAATATCATCATCCGGATCAACGTTAAGTCGAAACTGACTCTCCATTGTCGCAGGGCATGGAGACGTTCCTGAGCAGTGTGATATCAAGCACGTCAGGCCTTAAATCCCCACGGTAGAACGTGGGCTCATCTGGACCCATCACTCGATATTCATGCCTATCAGCATGCGCATGGAGCGCTCGGCCGTTCGCATTGGTGAGTCTGCTCCACAGATTGTGCTTGACGTGGAAGTCACCAGCAGCAATTGTGGGGGTATTTGTCGACATCAGCAGTTCATCCAGTGATTCTGGGAGTAGACGATTCCGCGGAGGGTTGTAAACTGAGATTAGTCTATGACGACCTTTTCTCAGTTAGAGCTCAACGCCCACGGCTTCCGTGCCATGTAACTGATCCGAGTCAATGCCGAATTGTACGTGAGCAAGATTACGTTTGACTAAAATGCAAACTCCTCCTCCAGCACGTCCAACGCGTTCTCTGTGGTAAAAACGGTAGTTTGGAATACCAAAAGGTTCATTGTGCAGGTGGGTTTCCTGCAACAGTGCAATATCGATGTTTTGTTGTATTAGAAAATTCTTAAAATCTAATTTCTTGTTTGAAATACTGTTGGTATTCCAAAATACAACCTTAAGAGAACTAGGAAATGTTGGTTGTCTAGCCATTAACAGGTTCCAGTTAGCACGTTGGTGTTCATCGTAAACATCTTTTCGAGTACGGGGAACTGAATGAAGAGTTTCTTCATCTGGTCTAGAGCGGAACAGATGTCACTAACCTTCGACGGGCGGGGACTACTGGGCGACTCGGTCGGCCTGGCGGAGGTGTTACCGTTCTTGGTCGCTTCTCAGGACAACCGCAGTAGTTTGCAGTATGCACACTCTTGCAATTATTGCACTTGGGCGGATCTGCTCGTGGCTTATTGCACTCACCAGAAAGGTGTCTGCCGGCCCATTTGACGCAAATGGGAATAGCTAGGCAGTTCCGTTGGCTATGCCCGAACCGCTGACATCGGTGACATTGCCTTACCAGTGTTTTTTGGTGTTGGGACTCAACCTTAACTTTAACGTTAAGGAGATCCCAGATGTCATAAATATGCTTCTGATTTTGGTTCACTTGAACCAAAACCAGGGGGAGCGGTCGATTTCCTCGCATCATCCTGGTGACGGATGATGGTTGGAAACCTTTTTCAACCAAGGCGTCCTCGATGTCAGCGGTCTCTAGATGTTCCGGGACTCCTCTGAAGACGGTTCTGATTTGCCTGTCTTCAGGTAAGGTATACGTGTGGTGGGGAATTTTTTCCCTCACCAAAAGTTTGGACATATTCCTGTAGTCCTCGGCCGAAGAAGGCTGAACCTTGATGCCGTCAGTCATGTTTACTGCCTTGGTAAAGTTCACCTTATGGAAGGCAGTCAGCTTTGTGAGTTGAACCCACTTGTCCTTCTGGCGAACAACAATTGGGGGAACACGTGTTTTTCTGGTGCTTTGGGGCACCTCAGGACGCGGAAGGAGAGGAAAGCTAGTTTCCTGATCGTTGGGGTTTTCAACCTGATTAAGATTTTGGGATGGCTGTTTTGGGCCACCCTGTATAGCCGAAATCGATTTTTCAGACCTATTGCCGTCAACCAACATTTCATGGTCACCTTCGACGGAAGACTCTGTTGTTGAGAGTTCTGACTCTGAAGTATTGATCTTGGCTTCGTCCCGGAGCTTTGACATCTTTTTAGCCACTTTTTTGAGCTTGTTGCCGGTATTTTTGTTTACTGCTGCGACTGGTTTGGATGGAAGAGGAGGAAACTCTTCTGGAAGGCGACGCTTTTTGTTGACCGGTTCTTGAGGCTTGGTTGTACTGTCGTCGTTGTTGGTCTCACGCTGAGCAGAGAGGGTGGTGCCGACGGGAGTATCTCTGGAGGATACATTTCGTGACGGACGCTCGAGAAGCTCCTTGGCCCCTGGTAGAAGGCCAGAGGGCTCCCGAACTGCTACCACGGAGCTGTCCCTTAGCAGTTCTGATGGACTCAGGCCCAGGCGATCAAGCAATAAATCCATGAAGGTAATTACTTCACTCCTGTCCCTGGCCATCAGGCTGTCAAGCATATCCTCCATACTGCTGTCGAAAAACTCACACCCTTCGATATCCCAAGGGTAGGCGATGAACAGTTCCACAAAGTGATAGTTTGAACGCACTCACCAGAAGTCTGAAGGGTCCAGACTTCTGGTGACAACCAACGCACTCACTAATAGGAGATATGTAACTACTGGTGAATGGCTGATCATCCACCAGAAATAGTCGTATTTGTAGAAAAAACTTCGAAATTATCGTAGCGAAAAATATTCTGTATGTCAGTTTGAAAGCTAACGTCAGAATGTTATTTGGATAGTGGCGAAACGGCAACAGATTGATATTAGAAAGCACCTTGTATTACATCGAAGTTGAGAAATAAATAATCGAAAGGAATAACGGCAAATATCTTAGAATTTTTTTGTACATCTCTGAAGACGGAGGCAGATACTGGCCTCCGAAACGTAAAGATAAGTATTGTATTATTTCTTAGCAATTTTTTTGATGGACAAAATTGTCAAATACAAATTACTGATAAATAGAACATTTTTCTTTGTGAAAAATACTTTGATTTTACGCATAACTTATCGGGGTTAACTAAAAAGTTTGCCCTTTCTACACTTGTATGAAGTTCTCCATTATAATTTTTATATTTTTCAGATTACGGAAGGTGAAAAATACCCAAAAAAGGTATATGAAAAACTGATTTTGTTCTACAAAAAATGCCTCTTTGAATATTCTTCATTGTATTATTAAAGTATATGGGTTGACAATCACTGCTGTAACATATTTCCACATTTTTATATAATTTACAATTGATCGAGTCAAATTTTTTTTTTTAGGAACACTTGGATCAGTTGCGAAATGGAATAAATTTCAATAATTACATTTTGAAAAAATCACCAACTAAAATGACTTCCAATGAGCGTTGGGCTCTATATTCACATTTTCTCATACAATATCTGAACCATTTGATGGAAGAACAGAAAAAAGTGTACCAACTATACCAAGAAAAATACAAAATATATGCTGAACAGAGAGATATGGAAGATCTGAAGATAATGAAGGAAAGTTTGGTGATAGGTTTGACAACGACAAGCGCAGCTAGGTTGCGACCTGTGTTGGAAGCATTGAAAAGTCCCATCGTTATCGTGGAAGAGGCTGCAGAAGTTTTAGAAGCCCATATTATGAGTGCTCTCACGAAACATTGTACACAATTGATTTTGATTGGCGATCATCAACAACTGAGACCAACGACAGCTGATTATACTATAGAAACCCAGTATCAAATGGGAGTAAGCCTCTTTGAGCGTATGATTCACAATAATATAGAATGCCATACACTGAATATTCAACATAGAATGAGGCCTGAAATCTGTAATCTGATAAGACCCTCTATATATTCTGAATTAGAAGACCACTCGTCTGTACTAGGAAGACCAAAAATATTAGGAGTTGATAAAGTTCTCTACTTCATAAACCATACAAAGGAGGAGCAATCGTGTGGAGATACTACCAAAAAAAATTTACACGAGGTTACATTTTTGATAAATCTAGCTAGATATCTCATTCTCAATGGGTACAGCCCTCAAAATATCACAATTTTAGCAACCTATCTGGGCCAAATGTTTGAGATGCAAAGAGAAAGGAAAAAACATAGTCTCATACTCAGAGATGTGAGGATATCTGTTTTGGATAACTATCAGGGAGAAGAATCTGACATAATTTTGCTTTCTTTAGTTCGAAATAATGAAGAAAATATAAATGGATTTTTAAAAATCACCAACAGAGTGTGTGTTGCTCTTTCGAGAGCAAGAAATGGTCTATATATCATGGGTAACATAGATCAACTTTGTAATGATAAATATTCTGTAAGTATGCAAATTTCAGATCAGAGGTTATTATTCAGACTTTGCTTAGCTGGAAGCATTATGAATTAACGAATTTTATCTTAGCCTCTAATAGTCCTAACATTGGTCATATGCTCTGAAAAAGAAATTATTAAAACATTTATAGTTAGTGAAATTGGAGTTGAATGAAAATCATTTGAGACCATTTATTGTGATATTTCCACCATATAGCTAGTTCACAAAACCGTAAAACACGTTTCATTACTGAATAAATTTTCATGGTATGCATTTGTTGCTGTATTATATCTGAGTGCCAGGGCATTCAGGGATCACAGGTAATTATAAAGCGGATCATCAACTTCATATATAGATCCCAAACCAGCTCTGGGGGTACCAAAATCATTGATACGAAACCAGATTAGGACATGGATCAATAAGAAGCACACAGAGTAATAGATAAAATTACCTGGCAACAAACACAGTAGAACCTTCATTAGGGAACCGTCCGAGAAAAGAAACAGAGAACTACTTCAATATAGTAGAATTACAGGGTTACTAACCGTTCATTGTCCGCTGAGAGGACACCTGAATAAAATGGGGCTCTACAATGGAGAACACAGCTGCAGATTATGCAACGAAGGGATAGAAACAGCTCTACACATCTTATGCGAATTTGAGGCACTGAATTACAGGAGGTAGGCAATATATGGACGTACAAAATTACGCCCTAATTGACTCCATATCTGTACCAACAAGGACAGCTGCAGAAGTTGCGGCATATCGGGTTGAATGGCTTTTGAAAATATTAATGTCTATGCCACTTTTCTCTAAAATACTTTTAATCCACCTACTTACGGTTTGTGATGAAGCATTGTGATAAGGTCTCTTATGTGTTAGAAAAAGCATTTCATTTTCTTCACTGGTTCTAAACGGTTTGGTTATTTGTAAATAATGTAATAGGGTGGATGCAACACAAAGTTCAGATTTCTCGTTTGAAAAATGGAAAAATTATGAGAGGTTGTTCCCTATTTGGTGCACTAGTTTTCAAGACACTGGATATCAGAAGTTTTCATAAAAATGTATGTCTGATATTTTGATTTTTGTTAGAGTCTGAACTCTTGCAGCTGAAGTTAATGCCATAAGCATACTGAGCTTTCTGAAAACGTTTAATAGGGTTAGTTTTGGAAAAGGATATAATTTCTCAAGATATAACAGAACTTCACTGGGATCCCAAGTATACGAGTACTTGGGAAAAACTGGCTTAATTTTAAAGATCGCTTTCAAAAATCTTTGTATAATTTTTGCATGTTTCCAAAAAAAAAAAACAAAAGTAGGGATAGGGCTGAGCGATGAGTATTCAACGTTATTGAGTTTACTCTGAAAAAATTCCAAAACGTTCTTAACAGATGGTTTGAATTTATCAATTTCTAAAGAATTCGTAAATTGCCACCACTTTGAAAATGATGAATTGTATTGTTTTTGAATGTTCTCACTAAGTGAGGATATCATTGAGGAGATACTCGATTCAGGAATATCTTCCAATGCGAACGACCTCCGTATAATTTCCCTGCAGCCAGGGTAAGGTTTTTGTGCATAGGATGTGCATTCCTGAAAGGAGACACAAGAGGTGACTTTTCAGGACCAAAATATAGAATATCTGAAACTAGCAAGTTTTGGAAAAGCGGGTACCATGGTTGTGAAGGCCAGAATGGAACCACCATGATTACTTCAGCTTTTCCGAAACTATTTTGCTCAAACCACGTGTTATGAGAGCAAATGGGGGAACATAGCCGCAGGCGTTCGGTCATGAGATTGTAAAAGCATCTACTGCTAATGATTCAGGGTATTTGTGCCATGATATGAATGTTTACATTTTTTATTAATATATGAACACGGAACTTGTACAAACTAGTACAGGGGACGAGACTAATGGAATGGGTGTCATGAGAAGATGGGAGAATAAACGCAATAAGCCCAAGAGGCTGCAGTGTTTTCTCAAGGTACAAAAAAAAAAGTCGTATTTTATAGAAAGTATCTTCGGACTCATTTGTAGCATCCATAATCGAAAAAAAACCGTAGGGGAAAATTGTTGGAATATACCTCGAAAATGTTGAAATATTTTTCTTGCAATCGTGTGGTGATCAGTCTCTGGAATGAGGTAGTGATAATGTAAAAGAGAAAAATAATGTCAATTTTTTTAAATTCCAAGTCAACTTTGTTACTTTTAGAGTGGCCCTTATATTTCACATTTCCACATTGTTTTCTTCAATGATGAAAAACAAAATACTTTCAACAGTGAATAGAAAAGATGGTATTGTGCCCCGTTCTTGATGAGAAAACAACGAAGTCTAAATCGCCATAGACTAGATTTCTTTCTATCTATTTTAAGGAAAATTGTTCTTGCTACATTTCATGCGTAAAATTCATACTTTAGAAATATCTGTGAGTTTATTGTATACAATACTAATTAGTGTTCAGTTTCGGCTCCGCATGGGTGCAATGATGACACTGAATATACATACCCCCCATGCCCTGAGAGTTGAAATCTTCCCCACACGGTTAATGTGGGCAGAACATCCCATCTCGTCTATCCACCCCCGCGCCTCCGGAGCGGTCCTCAGCTAACTGATGGAAACTTCAGTAATATTGGCATCTTACCTTCTTTGGAATAAAGTCAGCCTCTAGGTGCTTTTTCTTTCTGATCTGTTGAAATGTTTTATCATGACTTTCCTAACTGAATTATTGCATGGAGTGCCCAAAAACTAACCGGAGACGGGCGTCTTTTTAGTCGCGACCATGTGTTGGTTATCAATGAATCTGAAAATGAGATTGATTTGAAGTCTGGTTAAGAAATTTTTATACTTACCGGAGCTGCCTGACAGCGACTCTTGGGGGTGGTCTTTGTTTCTGCTTCGTTGACGTTCTGTGTTTGTCCCTCTCTCGGAATCTGGAGTAATCCCTATTTAGTGCATATTGTAAGTCGTTTAGCGCTGGTTTGTCGTGCGCTCGAATTCTGTCGAACGTGTCCTCATCAGCAGCTTCACTTTCAGTCCCATGTTGCTTCTCCAACCTATTATTGGTAATAGGTTTTGTCGGGCAGATCTCGCCATTCCTATTATCTGCCGTACGTGAGACCTGAACGTTAATCCTTTGTCTAGGTTGACCCCCAAGTATCTAGCTTCGTTGGTCCACGGAATCTCTTGTCCGTTGAAGATGACATTTTTTTCCGGGTGTACCCTCCTCCGGGTGAACAGTATTGCCTGACTTTTGTCAGGGTTTATATTGATCTTCCACACGTTGGCCCATTCCTCTAATCTATCTGCCTGTTGCTGCAAGTATCTAGTGACGTGCGCTTGGCTTGTTGATCTCGCCAGCAGGGCTGTATCGTCCCCGTAGAGCCCCAACTTGTTGAAGTTGTTCTCTAGTTTGGGCACGTCTGCTGTGTATACTAAGAAGAGGTTAGGCGAAGGGACTGCAACTTGTGGTGCAGGGTCCTCAAATCCTCGTCCTGGATTACTATAAATCGACCACTTCGAGGCTCATCTTTGCGGCTAAAATCTCCGGAGCGGAATTCAGCAAACCAACATCGAGCGATGCATTCATTACCACTATTATTGCCAAATGCCTATCAAATTTTTTGAGCAGCGCTCTGGTTCAATTCGAACTCGTAGAAAAAAGTAGCTGAAAATCGCTTAACGAAATTATATAGTGATTACTATACTGTGTGTAAAAGCCAAATGGAATGAATTCATCATTTCGGCTATGGTACATTTTTTAACAAAATCCCGAAACACGTCAAATTTAAATTATGATTTAACATATTTCAACGGAAAAATGATATCCCTACCTTCAACCCCAGTCAAATGACAGGTACAACCCTCAATTTTTTAAGTAGGAAATATAGGTTTGTGATATATCGTTTGAAAGGTCTCTTCATTCTCCATACAAAAATGTTATCGTTTTCTAGTTCATTGCAACCACTTAAATAAAATAAATTAAAATCATGTGGTCACTGAAATTCGATAAAATACACTCACTAATTATTGCAGTATACTCAAAACTTATTTCATGTTGAGGTATTGATAATAAGAAAGTAAGCAAAAATCATAGCAATGGTTTTTTAGATCCTTTAAAAAACTGTCAATGATGTCCATGGCAACGTTTGTTTAAAATGCCTTGTCAGCTTGTTTTGTATGTTACAACATTAGTTATATTTTACTTCAAGTTCAAAGTTCGTTAACTTCAAGTCTGACAAATGGTTGGATTAATGAAGGACATGTTGGATAACAATATCATCCAATTAGAAGACGTTATGTTTTCTGATGAGTGTACTCGCAATACCCTCAAAAGGTTAATGTTTGGGCAGGGATTGTGGAAAATCATATTACTGGTCACTTTTTCATTGGGGGCAACTTGAATGGCGATAATTATTTGGCACTACTTCATAATGATGTCATTATAAGTTTAGCTTTATATCTTTATCCAGGAAACCCCCAAATTCCAGTTAATACGATATGGTTTCAGCAGGATGCAGCACCATCACATTATCAAGTTAATGTCCGGCCATACTGCGATACAACATTTCCCAATCGGTGAATAGGGAAGCGAGGATCGATTGAATGGCCAGCGCGATAACCTGATCTTTCATCATTAGATTTTTTTTCATGGAGATATGCAAACCTTCAGATTTGAATGACTTAAAAAAACGACTAACGCTTGCGATTAAGTCGGTCATGCCTGATATGTTAAATAATGTTAGAAGACAGTTTTATTTGAGATTAGGATGTTGCCAAGACGTTCGCGGTGAACATTTCGAACATTTACTTCGTTAACATCCATAAATCGTTTTCGTATTCTACATTTGATTACGTTTTGCATTACATTTTAGTTTTTGAGAGTATTTCATCGAATTTCGGTAACCACATCTTAATTGTTGCAATAAACTTGGAAGCGATAACATTTTTACATAGAGAATAGAGACCTTTCAAACGATATAGCACAAACCTATACTTCCCATTTGTACCTGTAATTCGAAGGGGGTTGAAGGAGTTTTTACGTTGAAAAATGTCAAATTAGAATTCACATTGGATGTGTTTCTGGATTTTTAAGAAAATGTACAGTAACCGAAATATTGAATGTATTCCATTTTGATATGGAACTACAAAAACACATGACATGGAAACGGATCAGATTATTGAAACAATCTAATACCTTTAAAGTACTATAATTTTGAAAATTACTTTTCTGGCGGAATCTGAATATTCGAAACAATACATCTCATTGTCTAATTGAAAATAACTGTTTTTTGTTACGTCACATTTCTACTGTGGACCCTGTTTCCGGAAACTTTTATACGAAACATTTTCAGAAAACTTCACCCATTCATCTCAAACTTCTAATATCGAATTTATCGAAATTATAAAACTCATGTTTTGGTTTTTTAAGAATCCATTCATCCAATCAAATCATGTAATGCACATTGATGATTTTATTATGATTTTATTTCAGATATGGCCTGAAATTAGAGAAAGCCTGGAGAAGCAGAATGCAATTGGTTCTTCATTAGAATTGAGATGTCAAATACATGACGTGATCACAAAAGTGAAAGATGAGAAGGATTTCAGTAAGATTCCGGAAGGAGGCTGCACCAGACGTTGTGGATCTGATTTGTCTTGTGGACATATTTGCAAAAATATATGTCATTTGACTGATAGACATCACGAGCAATATACTTGCATAGAAAAATGCGGAAAGCGACTTTGCCAAAGGTCAGAAAAACATTTATGTGTAAAACCGTGTTATCAAAAGTGTGATCCTTGTCATTATCCAGTTGAATGGATTCTACCTTGCGGTCATGAAGTTACTTTGAAATGTCACATGGACCCAAATAAACATGACTGTAATGAATTGGTTCTCACATTACTTTTTTGTGGACATAATGAGAATAAACCGTGTCACATCAAACCAGAAGACTTTATGTGTCCACAACCATGTGACGCTTTACTTGATTGTGGACATGCTTGTACTCTTAAATGCCATGTCAGAAAAGATCCAGATCACTTGAACGTAAGTTATATGAAATATATTGTTGGAGACTCATTAATTTTTTCACTGTTACACTGTATTCAACGCCACGTGCTTTACCAAACGAATACTAATTGATAAATCATAACTTGAATTGAAGAGTAAGGTCTCCCTACAATTTCAGTCACACATCAGTGATGTGTATACCGGGTGATTCTCTAAGGTGGCTCACCCCTATAACTTTTTTATTATTGGAGATAGAAAAACGAAATTCAGGGATTGTGTATTATAGTTCATTTTAACATTTTTTGGCATATTTACTTGCTTTCCCGTACTTCCGGTTTGACCGGAAATGACCCCAACGTTCGATTTTTAATGGGACATCCTATATATTTTTTATTATTTCGATCGAGAATGATATTAATAATAATAATAATAAATGCTTTTATTGAAAGGTTACTCAGTACAAGGGATACTAATCTAACCTAACAAATGGCAGAATTCAACGTCTGCGCATGACGAATCAAGGCAGAAATTGCTCTTCCATCCAACCAGTTCTAAATACAAAAATACTGCATTAGTCAATATTTGACAAATAAAATCATTTCTATTCCAATTTTTATTTTTTGATCTAGAATGCCATGGATTCATAATTATTTTAAATTTCTTTTATTACAGTTTGAATCTACCGCTAGTCTTTTACTAGAGTCTATATAGGTACTAACCTGTCTATTAACTCATTTTTTTTTCAGTTACTTTCAATTTACGACATGCAAGCCAACATTTTACTGTTACAACATTGTTATCCTTTACAGTTGCAAATTTTAGTTTTGCTCCAGGAACATTTTCTTCTATTAAAAACTTTTTTTTTAATTGTACTTTACCATATGCTTATATGAGGATTAGGCAGTGTTTGTCCCTACCGAACTACTAGCGCTGCTAGTGAGTGATTTTCGTATTTCAGGAAAAAGGTTCATTGGATATGGCAAATTATACTAGAAATGAGAAAATTGACCTATTGCTAATTTACGGATAAACAAAAAATACTGCAACTGATGCAGCTCGAATTTATGCTCAAGGGGTTTCCTAATCGACGCCATCCCACTCGGCATTATTTTCCAACACTAGAAAGAAAAATGCTAAATGAATCAGAAGAAAATGCCAATAACTTCATCGTCAGTGAAGGAAAAAAGTAGACGTTGTTGGCCTATGTTGAAGTGAATTATACGGCGTCAATTCGTCAAATTGTTTCTGAGTGTGATACTCGTATAAATTATTCGTCCCTTTGGAGAATTCTTCACAAATATAATTATCGATCATTCAAGTACCAACTACACCAACATCTTTACGATAACGATCACAATCGAAGATTGACTTATTGCAACTGGCTTCTGACTAAATACAGGGAAGATGTACGTTTTACATTTAAATTTAGTTATTCAGATTGAACCCGATTCACCAACTTGGGTATGTTTAATAGGCATAATAAAAAGGACTGGTCTCTAACAAATCTACATCTGATGCAAGAAGGAAATTTTCAAGAGCGATTTGGTTTCAATTACTGAATGGGTATTATTGGAGGAAAACTTTTGGGGCCAATAATTATCGACGGACAACTGACTGCTGAATCATCAGATATCATCATTGATGATTTGCCACTGGCTAACCAAGTTGATATATATTTTCAACAAGATAGAGCGCCACCAAACCATTCTCAAGTCGTAAGAGAATATCTGAATGACACTTTCCCAGACAAGTGGATTGGCACTTATGGATCTATTCAGTGATCTCGGTCGGTAGCCAAGCGGTTCGGCGTGGGTGCTTTATTCACTCACTCGAATTGACTGCCGTGTTGGTCGGTGGTTCAAGCCCTAGTCTGAACGATCGATCTTCACTTGCTATCGTCCAACCTTAGGAATCACACGTTAAAAGGTAATATTTCTTTTTCATATTCTAGATTACCAGATCTTCCTCCGCTAGATTTTTTCTCTGAGGAACAATTAAAAATCAGGTTTACAATAAAACATCAGCTACTCATGAAGAACTGGAGCATAAAGTAAAGGTGACATTTCAGAACATCACTGAGGAACAGCTAATCAATGTGATGCGCGCAACAATTGAAAAAGTTGAACTTTGCCGTGATAAAGGAGGAGGCCATTTTGAAAATTTATAACCTTAATGGACTAATTCGCGACTTCCTTGCAATTATTCAGAAAAATTGAGAAAATAAACTGAAAGAGTGTGGCATCAAATTATTCATTAGAAAATGATCTTCTACAAAAAGCCGACGAGCCAACCCCTTTCCATTTGAAAAAATCAAGTTAACTGGAAAAATTCATATTTGCGACTGTGGAATAATTCTTAAAACGACTGTGAAGTCGTAGTTTTCCCTTGTTACTTGATCAAGAATAAAGCGATTTACACGATCCATGGCATTTTAGACAAAGAAAAAATTGGGATATAAATGATTTCATTTGTCAAATATGGACAAGTGAAATATTGTTGGATTAAGAACGTCATTTTCTATCAAAATAAGTAAAAATATATAGGATGTTCCATTTAAAAATCGAAAGTTGGGGTCTTTGGAAGTACGGCAAAGAAAGTAAATATGTCAATAAATGTAAATTGAAAATGTAAACTTCGTTTTTCTATCTCTAATAATCAGTAATAAAATATTGTACTGAGGTGGCACTTTTGACAATTCCCTCGATATCCCTCAAATATCTCAAAATACATTCTGGAAAATATTTAAAACAATTATCCTCTACCGAATGTCTCTATACGGAAACGCAATTACTGAAAACGAGAGAACTCTATATCCACCAATGTTTAACTTGGATGTACACAAACAAATTTATACTTCAACAAACAAAAAAAAATCGTCACTGATTCCGCCATAAACTTACCAGCATTCAATAAAAGTCACAGACAGAAATGTATCTTCTATCACGGTCCAAAATTATTCAATATTTTGCCGGTCACCATAAGGAATATTTCTAATCTCAAAAAATCAATCAGAACATTCATTATGTTCAATATCAAACTTCTCGATTTATTCGGCTGAACAGAAACGATGTTCAGCAACTCTTCATCATTCCCAATATTCATCAACTAAGTAAATTCATAAATCGAAAAGTATGTATTTATATAGATACAGATATATAGATATCATTGAGTACTCTTAGTAGTGGATAATACAAGTACTTCAGTAACTTAAGTCATACTGATGGTAATAAAACAATCCAAACTTTAAATGAAGTTCAAATTTCAAATAAAGTATCGTGTATGTTCGGTTTTTTGGACCCCGAGTTTCGAATATTTGAATAAATTAATCAGAGAACATAAATTATACTGTTTTAGAAAACCTTGACTTACACATATATTCAGTGGGCATACTTGAAGACTGATGATATTCCATAATTGAAAATCGAATTTCTTTCAGAATATCATTCCTCTAACTGAGCTAGATCTCCCGTTCCTATAATTGAAAATCGATTCCAGCAGTTGTATTGCCAACAGCATATGCAGGAAATAATTCTGTGAAGATTCCTGCACTGACACCTGTTGGATTCAATCCAACGCCCTTCGGGGTATTAGCCAGAGGAATAGTTGTTTCCTGATAGGTGTCAGTCCATCAATATGAAGTGTAGTTAAGTTGAGATTGGCCTGAACAAATTGTTCTTTTAGTTAATTCGATTTACAACCAGTCTTCAAGTATGCCCACTGAATATACGTGAAGGTTTCTTTCCTTCACGAATTTTGGATATGCGGTTGGTTAGTACCTTGTTTACCATATGGAGCGATGACAAATTTGTTGTTTGTCGTTGGCTTCAGCTTGGTTAGAGGAATGAAACTCTGAAAGGAATTAAATTTTCAATTATGAAATATCATCGACCTTAGGTTGATGATGAAGACTACCTAGCACGGACGAGAGGCCAAATAGCTCGAAATCGGTCTGCAAGTGGGTTCGTTCCTATAATTGAAAAAATCTATTCCAGCAGTTGTATCGCCAGCAGCATATGCAGGAAATACCTCTGTGAAGATTCCTGCACTAACACCTGTTGGATATAGTCCAATACCCTTCGTGGTATTATTCAGGGAAATAGTATCAGTCTACCTATAGTGTAGGTGAGTCGAGACTGGTCTGAACAAATCGTTCTTTTAGTTAATTTGAACCTTGACTCACCTAAAAACGCAATGAGTCATTGTTTACTGTTGTTCCTTATGAACCAAGATGTATTGATGGGTTTGAAGATAGGGCTGGAACTTCTGGTGAAGAAAAAACCCAATTCAAACACTGCTTCTGCACTTAAGGACTGCAATAGTCTTCTCTACTAGCGTCTTACCATCCAAGTTAGCGTCATTAGGAGAAAAACTTTACTGTATGATACTTATTATAATGTATCGCCTGATGATGTCAACTTGGTTGATGAAACGTACTTCCAGTAGAGGGTTCCAGTTCTGATGTGTGGGAGCGAGGTTTGTTTTGGATCAATGAGTGGGAGAAGAATTTAAAAAATCGAACATTTAGTTTGCTTACCTGAGCAAGTGTTCGGTGACCTTGAAACCAGTAACAATGAAAAATTTTTATGAATTTATGTGCAATAATCAATGACATTCAGGATGTTATGATAATCACAAACTGATGTAATCCTACAACTATTTGAATTCCAAAAAAAAACTACTTCTGCACCAGGACGAAAATTGTCTTTTTGTATTTATGTTTTCGTCTCAATCAATGAATATGATCTGCACCAAATGGTGAGATTGAATTTCAAACAGTTCCATGATACTTCAGAATATTTATCTTTTGCAGTATGAATGCCCAAAGCCATGCCAAAAGTTACCTGTCGGATGCAGTACAAAAAATCACAAATGTAGAAAATTGTGTCATGAAAAATGTGAACCGTGCTTGGTTAAAGTGAAAAAAGGTCGATCAGTATGCAGTCACTTTTATGATGTTGCATGTAATGCTGATGTTGATGCTCTACAGTGCAGTAAGCCATGTCGAAGAACGTTGCCATGTGGCCACAAATGTGGAAACAAATGCTTCGAAACATGCGGTCCCTGTATGGTCACCGTTGAAAAAATCATACAGGAGTGCGGACACAAGATAAAAACCAAATGTTGTGAAAAACCCAATCGTCAACACTGCATAGAAAAATGCTCTCGTAAATTGGTATGTGGTCATGACTGTCAGAATAAATGTAGAGATCCTTGTACTACTAGATGTGAAAAAATGAAAAACTGTAACCTGCCGTCTCCTTGTGGACACATTGTGAAACAAATACAATGCTTTCAAAGTGAGTATATTGCATATTTACTCAACCCTCATTCCATTAGATGTTGTGGTTTTTAATATGAGAGAAGGGTGAAAACATGCAGCCCAAATTACTATCATTATCACCAAAAAGTTAGAATATAATGTAAAGAATAATGAAAAACATTCAGTACTATGTTTCGACGAAATCAATTCAATTCATGATCATAATACACGGCGAATACAAAATATAGTTTCACAACCTTACGAAAGTGAATTTGGTCAAAAATGTATTTTTCATGATGGAGTTAATTCATATAATAAAACAACTAACAATATAAAATGATTGAAGTATACGAAATTCAAAACACACCTGAAATAGATTGACACTTTTGCAGTTTCACATATTATTATGTGTTTATTTTTATTGACCGTATCATTCTTAGTAAGTCTGTTTTAAATTTTTATGTTACATTATCCCTACTATAAACATGTAATGTTTCTTGGGATGAATAAATTCATTCAATCAATATCTTTAAATTTTCAATAATGTTGAAAAGGAAAGTATTAGTTTTCTTCTTCTTCATCTTCTGGACGTTCAGGAATTTCTGTTTCATCGTCATCATCTTCGTTGTCCTGAATCGTTGTTTCCAGACCTTCCAGAATTTCAGGGTCACAACATTCAATGGCCTCTTAGTTTCACCATTATAGGATTTTCCGCACCCACAGGGTATCCGGTAAATGCAATTCTTGGAATCGTAGTCCGCGTTTGGTGGCCTGGCTTTCGTGAGGCTGCTACGGATAGTGTTACCGGATCTGAAGCAGGTTCTGATGTTGTACTTGGAACCAATTCTTCTTATCCTCTCCGATAATCCTCTGATGTAGGAAAGTGCAAGCACTGCTTGTGACGGCTTCTCTTCCTGTGCGAAAAACTGTTTTTTTTCACCTTTGACCTCATATAACTTCCGGTACAGACAAGAGATTATATGAGACTTTTGAGTCTCATTACCTCTCATGCCTTTTATGCTATGTGACTGGTCTATTAGAAATATCAAGCGCAACAGCTCATGACTCTCCATGTTATTTCAAATATGAGTGACATATGATAGAAGGTCACCTGTTGATCTTTATTTCCGAAAGCCATATTGATGCTCGCTCGAAATGTTGAAGCCTTTCAAATATTCAAGGATATGGTGGTTTACGGCTTCCTCCATGATTTTTGATATAACTGATAGCAAAGCGACTGGTTTATAGTCATTTGGGCGATTTTTCTTGTCCTTTTTGGGCAAGAAACAACTGAGATAATACCCTTGTTCAAAGATGATTCTCGATTGTCATTTTTCTGAATTTTAATTTGTTTCAATTTGAAATTAAAACAGCGAACAAGAAAAAATACTTACTATTGGCCTTAAGTGCTATTAAAATAATCCTTAGGGTAATATCAGTTCATTTGATTTGATATTTTGAATATATATTTTTTTCATTGAAATAGGGTTTTCATTATAATAACATCCACTTATGCCTCTAGGAAGTAGTAGATGTAGATATTGAAGGTCACCATTAAAGTTCACACCATAGTTGAATGGGCAGTTAAATCATTTCAACCCTTCAAACTTCTACCCATTCTCCTAAAACTGTAGCGAGTTATATTTTCGAAGTAGACCAATTAGCCTAACATTTTTCATTCTAAAAAGATTAAAGAGAATACTGGACAGACATATAGGCATACTGATGAACAACCATCAGTATGCCTATTAGACAGGAAAATCGACGGATAGAGCATAATATAACCTTGTAGACAAAACTATAGAATTTTTCAACACTAAAGATATTTTATTGGAAATGTTTCTCGATATCGAAGGAGCATTTGACAATGTACTATTTGAACTAACTTTTCTGAAATAAGCATAGAATCAACCATATCCGACTAGATCTACGCTATGCTCATAAATGCAACAGCTACTACAATTTTTCATGATGAGGCTATTAGGTTCACCATTGAGTTCAAGGTTATCAGAAATTGCCCTCAGGGCGTGGTATCATCTTCCCCTTCTGTGTCCACCTCCTGGTGAACAATTTGGTTGATATCCTTGATAGCAGAGAGGTAGTAATGCAAGTTCAGACGAATTACTTTATCATTTCAACAAGAACAACGTCTGGAAGTGTAGCCTGTAATATCCTCCAAAGAATGTTGCAAGATGTTCATAATTGGTACCAGGGGAAGTATATGTCTCTATACCCAGGAAGATTATCTTGGTGATTCAATTCCACTTTATTTCAATGGTGAGGTTATTCAATTCAATTCAATCGGGAGTGAATTATCTAGTCTGAAACACTCAGTTGGAAAATGTTTCACAAATAACCGGAATATCCCTCTGGACTTGTCGAAGGATCTCTGGAAAATCTTGGAGCTCAGAGTTTGAATATATCCGTCGTATCAAACTTACTGAGCAAAGTTCTCAGACACAGGCTTGGTGGTATCTATCAGAATCATATCGTCAGTGTTCAACAAAAATTTTATAGATCTACCATCTCAACATCTGTAATTGTACTCGAAAGGCTGATGTAAAGTCTAACAGACTATTGTGAGGTACATCATTCTGAGAATCTCCGATTTATTGCCTCTATTGGTCAATCACTACCTGCCTTCAGTCCTAATCCCGAGGACTGCATTTTCCAGGAAGAAAATACTAGGAGCAGATATCTGTTGTTTCAGAAATTGATAAAAAAATCATCAGGTTCAGGTATGAACAGTTGCTGAGAGATATATCAGTTCTGAAATTCTGACCACGCTAGCCTGAAAGGAAAAGAAGCGGATGATTTCATTGCAGGGGAAGGAACTCCAAGCGGTATCATTGAACTATAACCTGTCATTGATATTGCTTCAGGCTGTGCTGAATGTCTAGGACCAGGATTGATCCATTCCAAAGTATTTATCCTTCCATTGAAGTGTGTTATCAAATGGTCAATAGATTTCGGCAGGGATATCATGCCTTGTCTAACAGGCTTTCTCATAGGTCACTACGTTTCGAATCATCATATATGGAATCTTGTACTGTCGAATGAGAGTGCGCGCCATATCTGTTGATGAAACAGCAGAACACACACTTTGTGATTGTCTCGTCGCGGACTGCATCAGACGTTTAAAGCTTGTTGCAAATTGACTCTTGCCATCTGACCAAAAAGATTATTCACCAAATGGACTGATTGATTTCGTTAAGAAGCTGAACTTGTTTGTTGAATTTGATCAGGTTTTTGGAAAGAGCCACTCACTTTGGACATACGTACCTGCCAATCTATGTGTTTATAATCTCATCAAGTAGTAATACCCTTTTTTGCCCATTGAGGAAGAAGTGAATATCTGAAAAAAAATATCAAAAATTCCTTTATCACATACCTTCTTCTAAAATTACAAATGATTTCTGAAGTGATTTCTGTTTTCAGTTAATGCCAAGGATGAAATTTTGATGAAATTTTGTACAGAACCATGTCAACAAATTCTCCAATGTCAACATATATGCACTGGAAAATGCGGAGAATGTTTTCAAGGGCGTTTACATAAGAGATGTGCGGACAAATGTGGTGTGCCTCTTGTTTGTAATCATGAATGTCCCATCCCATGTAGAGAGGCTTGCAAACCATGCGAAAGGAAGTGCAACTATAGATGCTCTCACGGAAGATGCACTAAGAAATGTGGAGAGATTTGTGTAAAATGCTTGCATGATTGTATTCGGAGATGTCCTCACAAACAATGTACATTGAACTGCGGAGACATATGTGATGTTGAACCTTGCGAAGAACCTTGTCCAAAATTTCTTGAATGTGGACATAACTGTGTTGGTTTTTGTAATGATCCATGTCCAAAGCTATGCAAAATTTGCAACAAGAATGAACTATTAGAAATTTTCTTTGGTACAGAAGAAGATGATGATGCGAGATTTGTTGAACTCCAAGACTGTGGCCACGTTATGGAGAGCGATGGAATGAAGTGTTGGTTGAAGAATAACGATGGCGAAATTCAAGTTAAAGTTTGCCCCAAGTGCAAGACTCCGATCATTAATACCCAGAGGTTCAGTGAATATGTGAAGAGGGCTCTTCTTGATATAAACAGTGTCAAACTCAAACTCAATGGAAGCTTTCCGGAAAACATGCAATTGAGAGATGAACTATTGGAAACGATAATCAATATGAAATTGACTACATCGAAACTATCCAGTAAGTGAACAATTGATTGTATGTGCTGTCTTGAATAATTAATATAGAAAATTATTAAGTGATTGTAGGCTACCAGGCATGTGTGTCCAAAATCAATACTATTCTGTTCTCAATGAGAAAATATTAGTTTGTAATGTTCAATGTTTTTTTTTTCAGATGTCACAAAACTACCATCAGTAATTCAAGAATTTCAAGATCGTCTTCAAGACACCAGAGTGGATGAAAGAAACATACGTCGGAGACAAACTTTCAGTGCTATAACGTTGAAATCGATTACCTCAAAAGTTCAAATTGTAGCACATATTATAGATATATGTTCTCGTTATCAATCTCACGAGTCGAAATCAATTGATACTCAGATAGATTTTATACTGAATCCTCTTGTAAGAGACGAAGACCAAATCACTCTTCAAGAAATAGAGGATGTCCAACTTGAAATCAGTAGATTGAAACGCATGGTTGAAATTTCAGAAATAAGAGAAAAGAATCAAGGGAAAAAATCTTCACTAGGTTATTTCCGGTCACCTAACACAAAAGTTCTTGAAGATCTTGAGGAAATAGAAAAATTGGTAATATCTCATTCGAGATACACTGACAAAACTGACCGGATAGTTGAGAAAAGATTGAAAACACTTGGTTGCGGAATCCAAATAAGTGACTCTGAACGAATTGAGATTGTAAAGGCATTGGGCCTGTCTAAGGGTCACTGGTTCAAATGTCCCAATGGACACCCTTATGTAATTACTGAATGTGGAGGTGCCATGCAAGAATTCGAGTGTCCTGATTGTGGAGAAAAAATTGGAGGTACTCGACACACACTTACAGGTTCCAATCAGCTGGCTTCTGAAATGGATGGGGCTCAGTTTCCAGCATGGTCTGATGTTGCAAATAATATGGAAAATTATGACCTAAGGCAGTTTCAATTCAACTGAAATATTTGACATTTAATAATTTGTAAACTGTTGTTACGTATTTAAAATAAAAGCTTTAGGAATTTGTATCGACCAAACAAAAGATAATCAGCATTTCACTTATTCGAAATTGAATTATAATTCAGTATTCATTTCATTATTTTTAAACAACTATAATTTCTTCTTTAAGTTTGAATGAAAAGCTCCCAGAAAAAAAATATTAACAGTAAGTTACCGCCATCGAAAAGCACGTGATTCTCTAAGAGATGATACTTTGTCTTCCTCTTGTTCCAATTTCCAAGAAATTATCACCAGTCTGACTGTAAAGGATTATTTCTTTGGTATTTGTAATCATACGCTTCAAGAAAGACCCAATATAATAATGGCAATGCATCTAATGCAAACACATTCGATTTATTGATGAAATCTTGGTATAAAAAACATAAATTATTTATTTTGTCAACAAAAATAACGGAACATATTATGATGCTTAGAAGATAACGAGGGTTGATCAATTATATGTTCACGTGATTTGAAGTAAGTTATCATACCTACTGACAGTCTGCATGTTCTAGAAATGAGTATTTACTATTTATGATAACGAGTAAGCAATGGTGCGATCTTTCCATTTGGAGCAAAGATGAAATATCTTGGCATTGTCCTTGATAAAAGACTCACCTGGAACGCTCAAAATGTTTAACACAAAGCCTGTCTCTATGGACATTTCGAAGGGTTAGTGGTAAAACTTGGGGTTTAGGTCCCAAACAAATCCATTGAATTCATGTGATGATTGTCAGACCAATGATCACTTATGATGCAATTGCCTGGAGCCAAAGGCTTTACAGAAAACGGCCCAAGCAAAGCTCTCTGGCTTACAGAGACAGGCTTGTCTGGCTATCAGTGGTGCCATAAGTTCCACATCGTCAGCGGCCATGGATATCATTCTAGGTCTACCTCCTCTCCACATTATTTTGGATAGAGAGGCTAGATGAACTGCATACAGACTTGTGCACATTGCCAATTGCACAAATCAATTCAATGCAGAGTGCAACAACAGACTGTTGGTTGACATTGGAAATCACATCATTCTGGAAACGACCTCTGACTTTATGCCTCCAACTGTCAACTACGAACTGCCTTATAAAGTACTATTCCCGAATAGAAAGGACTGGATCCTCCCGGAGAAGGAAATATTGAAAGCTGATAGTTGTTGGTTCACAGATGGATCAAAAACACCTTCCGGTTCTGGTGCAGGTGTTTTTAGTCGCAGACCCAGAACAGAGGAGGGTGCTACAAGCAGCTTCATCGGACCAGAACCTGTCATTGGCATCACTTTAGGCTTTGCCAAACAAACATTGAACACCTGGATGGCAAGAAGATTTTTGGACTTCTGGCAGAATCTTCCAAGATTGGCTCACTTCAAGGCGTTTATTCACCCTTCGAAGCTTGATACCAAACAGTTGTTGAACTACAGTAGGGATGAACGTTGGTGTCTAACAGCAGAGCATATACTTTGTGTCTGCCCCGCTGGGGACCTAATCCGGTTTTTAGAGTTCGGCAGAGCCGTACTCTTACCATCTGACCTGAAAGACCACTCACCATACAAACTAATCAGATTCGTTAAGAAGCTGGGTTCATTTGGTCGAGTGTGAATAGGTGTCGGCAACCCTTGCGGGTTGCGGTGGAGGATCGAATAGACCTCACTTCAGACCTAACCTAACCTAACCTAAGCAATTTTCACTAACATTTTTCATTTCTAGACGAGTTTCGCGGTAGCTACGGTCCGGTCTATTCATAGATGAATATTTGTTAAAATAAACATGACATATAATTTGGTGTTATAATTCTGTAGATTCAGAAATTAGTTTTCAAAATTCCTCCGAGTGACCAGTATGCTCAGATTTTTCATTAATCTGCTGGAAAAACAGTTAATTAGAATGTATATTTCAGTAGGATACATTTCATACAGAAGTCGCTTGTGTTTTTTAAAACGTGAAAAGTTATGAACAAAATATTTCGAATGACTTCACAGAAATTGTACTGGCATTTAGTAATGAGAATGCAGATAAATCCTATCAAATATTCTTTCTTACCTGTTTTTGGGGATAACATCTTTTCACAATCTGAAAAATAAACAAAATCAATGCTAAATCAATAGAGAATCGGCCAAAGTCTAATAAAAATCAAACTGAGAAGTTCACTTCGAAAAGGTACTGCGTGATATAAACCACTGAAGAGTCCAATTATTCAGTAACTTGAATTCAAAAATGTTGCCTTCAAATTCAATAATCAATGGAAAAATAAAATGTCTATACTTATTTTTCTTTAGATGGTTGCCGTTTCGGAAAATAAAAGTTTTTCGTTAAAAAAAATTGTGAATAACTCCTCATTCGCAAACAGCTGAATTTCCTCAGAGACAAAAATGAAACGTCATATTCGACAGTCCACATGAATATACATACAGAATGTTTTCTGGTAATTCAGTTCAGTTCAATATTTCCGTTTCCAACCATTCGACCTAGCAATGGCAACTACGAACGATCCAATTACACAGATCTATTTGAAATTTACTTCAGCAGATTATCTATTCATTGAGCTTTGTTTATTTTTCAGATTGTGAAAGGTTATACATCTTCACATACATGACTCCTTCACAATAAATGTGTTTCAAATATTCATCTCTACAATAATTGATAAAAAAGATATAGTCAAAGATGGTTATCCCCAAGTTGAGGAGTTAGCTCTTTTTATGTTTGATATAGTACATATTTCTCTTCTATATCAGTAGGAGATCACAGCAGGTTCTGGGCCTCCCCTCCACTACTATGACATCAATAATAGCATCAAACTTGTCTGACGTTATATGACCTTATGACGTTATATTAGTTTGAACAACAAACTACTCATAAATCTGGGAAATTTTATGAAATGCATGCAAAAACTCTAATTAAATTCAAATTTCCAGAGATGTACGGTGAATAACATAAATATGAAACCCTCTCATTGATAACTAAAAGATTTTGTTGCAAGAAGAAATATGCTATTCAAAATTGAATATGTCAAAATACCGTTTGAGTAGCCCTTAAAATATGTCGATTTCGAAAAATGGCGAAAATATATTGAACATGTTACAAAAAAAGAGGACAACATGTGGAAATTGGTTGAGAAAATTGTTTAAACCTTCAATAATATTCGACAGATAATCATCGGAGTTATTTGATGATATAGTCTACAGAGGAGATGAATGTCGAGTTTACGACTCCAACGGACCTCCCTGTAAAATTAAATCAAGAGCGAGTCTACAGAGGAGATGGATGTCAAGTTTACGATTCCAACTGACCTCCCTGTAAATTTAGTTCAGGCGCGAGTCTACAGAGGAGATGGATGTCGAGCTTACGACTCCAACTGACCTCCCTGTCAATTTAGTTCAGGAGAGAGTCTACAGAGGAGATGGATGTCGAGTTTACGACTCCAACTGACCTACCTGTATATTAAGTTCAGGAGCGAGAACTGCAGCGTACGCAGAATCTATCTCAGGTGGGGGAACAAACCCCCATGAGCAAGTTAGCAAACGTTTGCGCTCAAGTGATGATTCACCAAAACCAGAGGCGTCAAAGCCATGCACGTCTGAATCTAAGACATAGTCAGGTGTAGCTGACGTGCAAAAACCCTCATATGGGAAGGTTGGTCGTGAGTATCAAGGTGGTGATCTTGCAACTTGACTATCCGACTATCACATCAACAGAGCACATACTTTGTACCTGTCCTGTTGGGGACTGAATCAGGTCTTTAGAATTGGGCAGAACGGTACTGACCTGAAAGACTATTCACCATACATACTAATCGGCTTGGCTGAGAAGCTGGGTTTATTTGGCCGAGTGTGAATAGGTGTGAGCCACAATAAACCCTTGCGGGTTGCGGTGGAGGGTCGAATATACCCACTCACTGTGGACCTAACCTAACCTATCTGATGATACCACAACATAATTTTTTCTCCTTTAATAACCATATCTATTCATTATTGTGAATAATTTGAATTGAAATGTTGTATAACAAGTATTTTTGATGTAAATACCCAAACGCATGACATTGCAGGTAATGAGACTACTTGAAAAGTAATAACATCTTTTGTTTGCCACCCGTTTGCGTTACAAACAAGTTAGCATCATAAGGAGTCATCTCCTAATGATTCCAACTTTTTTAGCAAAACGTGCGTCGAGAAACACCATTCTTGTTTTGGTGAGAGGAAAGTGTTTTATATAGATTCATTTTACGACAAAGGTTTCAAATTCTATTGCATTTTCAATGAGCATTCATTACTTTTATCAGGATACAGAGTATAGTGCATCATTTATCATATTGTGACTATTCATAAGTGATCTTTCATAAGCAATGGTTAATAAATGTTCTAGTCTAATTGTCGTCATATCGTTCCTCGTGAGAAACGAATAAAATAGGCGGTTGAAATAATATTTTTTAGAAAATATGAAATGACAAATCAAATTGTATTACACAAAAGGCTATTTGTAATATTTACTCTGAGAAAAAAAAACAGATTTCGAAACAATTTTTATTTCAAAATACTTGAATTTAACCTAGTATACAACAATGTGAACATTTTAAATGCAATAATTACATATATGTTACAAAACTATTGTACAAAACTAGCAAACTACATAGAAAATTAGACTGTTAGCATAACGTATATGTATATATGGTACAATATTTATTCTCCAAGAACTGACTTCGTATAAACACTACTACATTGCCTGTTCAAACCCAATATTTTCTACTAAGCCTTGAGAATTCCATCGACTCCAAGCTATTCGACCAAGTTTACATTATTGGATTTGTTTCAAAATAAATGAATGAATTAAATGGAAAGCAACGAAAGTGGCATTACAAAATCTATATGAATGGGGTTCCATTATAGTTGACACAGTAAATCAATATGTACGTAAACATTTTCATAATTCAGCATTCTTATTGTATAGTACAAAATACCTGAATCAAAAAAATAATTGAATGCCTTCATTTAGTCACCAAATAACTGCCAATACGCGATTGACATTTATTTTTGATATAACATGTAACGAGCGAAATCAGTA